TACACGGAATATATTATCATAAAATATACAACTGATAATAATTAAATTTTGCTTACGAGTAGCCTGAAGCCAGCCACAAGAAGCTTTGGTACTCACACTAAAAAGAACCTGAAGCCTTCATAGATCAAAGAAGCCCTCTAAATTATTCAGAGCTTCCCTTTTTGCCCCCGAAGCCAGGTTGAGTTGCTGAACTTCACTGAAAATGTTGCCAAAAAAAATTATATTCAAAACGGGAATTTAATTTATTCTTGAAAGAACTGAATTTGTAATGAATGACTGATTAGCTTACTCGTGTTTTTAATTAAGTCGAGAGCAGAAAGGCCAAGTGAGTTAGATCATCAGATACAGGTAAGTTTCCTGGTCAACATGTGAAGTTGATGCTTAATTATCGACAGTAAATTGTAACTCAAATTAACACTGGTGGACTAAATTACCTTAATTAATAAAATAAATACAAATTTCTATGAGTCAGTTTTGTTACGTGAAAAAACAAACTTGTGCCAATATTTTCAGACCCCAAAAACTCTTTATGAACTATCAGACAGACAGACAGACAGACAGACAGACAGATAGATAGATAGATAGATAGATAGATAGATAGATAGATAGATTTGGGGATATCTCTACCCGTTATTTTGTTATTTTTTCCTGGTAGTTATTGCATCATTGACACTATCTTCCCTGTTATCACACTATCATTCCCATGTTATCATCCTGCTATCTTCCTGTTATCTCTCTGTTATCTCCGTGTTATCGTCTTGCCATCACTATTTTATCTCCCAGTTATCCCTCTCTTATCCTAAGAAACAACTCTTAGTAACCTGGCACCATTATAATGAGGAATTTCACATTAAGAATTTTTTGGCTATTAAACAAAACTTCATATAGTCTGAACTTATTTGGTTTTTCCTAAGTAGAAGGAAACGTAAATGAAATGTGGTTAGGTTAGGTTATTAAATTTTGTATTCTTGTATTGTTTTAACCTGATTTTAACCAGATATATCCGTTAAGACCCATTATTATCTTACGTGAAGTGTTGCACGTGTTTTGCATTTCATCCCAATTTATAGACCTACAGTATATATATATATATATCTATATAAAACAAAGAAGTCTGTCTGTTTGTCTGTGTGTCCGCACGAGAATCTCGGAAACTACTTTACCGATCTGTAGTGATGATGGATGATGTTATATGTAGTGATGATGGATGGTGTTATATGTAGTGATGATGTGTGGTGTTATATGTAGTGATGATGGATGGTGTTATATGTAGTGATGATGGATGGTGTTATATGTAGTAATGATGGATGATGTTATATGTAGTGATGATGTGTGGTGTTATATGTAGTGATGATTAGACAATAAAATAATAACAGTTAAATGGTAAAAAAATATACTTTGCTGTACCGATGTAGTGAAAAACATGGTGGAACGTACATACACCGTTAATGAACTATTGATGGAAGAAGAAGTTTTGGGGACTGAACAGTGAGACAATGTGGAGCCTACTTTTGCACCCCATCCGTGGCCCAACATCATATGCAGCACTCAAGACAGTGAATGGACAAGTCTGCAGAACCTATCAGAAAGCGTGCAATCTCCTTGGCCTACTGGAAGATGATGGTCACTGGAATGACACATTAGAAGAGGCAGCAGCTACTCAATCGCCAATGAGAATGAGGAACCTGTTTGCCATCATGATTGCTACATGTGGACTTTCCAACCCAAGCAGAGGATCTGCTTCAACAAGTAAGAAGAGACCATCCTGGTCAAGAGATTGAGTTCATGGATGACATGTTCAACAGGGCTCTGGTCATGCTGTAATACAAAATGATGGAGCTATGCGGAAAAAACCTGACTGATTTTGGATTGCCTTCCCCAAACCGAGAAGAACCAGTAGTTGCAAACAGGGAGTTGCTCAGAGAGACAGGCGAATCAGTTGAAGTTCTGGTGAATTTTCTTGAAGAAAATGAGCCTCACCTGGTGCCTGATCAAGCAAATGCTTATGAACAGATCTTGCAAGCGATACAAGCGGAGCAGGGAGGTATGATCTTTCTCGATGCACCTGGCGGGACAGGAAAAACATTCCTGATCAACCGTCATCAGGGGAAAATTGCTCTTGCTGTGGCATCCTCAGGCATTGCTGCAACACTACTAGAAGGAGGACGTACTGCACACTCAACTTTTAAACTGCCTCTCAACCTCGCTCACAATGACAATCCAGTGTGCAACATCAAAAAAGGATCGGCAAAGACAAAACTCTTAGAAAAATGCAGCCTCATTGTCTGGGATGAATGCACTATGTCCCACAAGTTAGCGTTTGACGCATTGGACAGACCATCTCATGGGTGGCATTACAATGGTCATTGCTACTTTCGCCAGACCCTACAGTCATTCCTCGAAGCACTCCAGCTGATGAACGGAATGCGTGCCTCAAGGCATCATACCTTTGGAGAAGTGTTCAGACACTCACCCTATCCACAAACATGAGAGAACATCTACAAGGAGATCAGGATGCTGGACGGTTTGCAAACCTTCTACTACAGATTGGGAATGGAACTTTCCCTGTTGATTCAGAAGGACAAATAATCATTCCTCAAGGATGTGGAAATGTTGTAAAGTCCTCAACTGAGCTCACTAACATGGTCTACCCAAACATTATCCACCACTACAAGGATCACAAGTGGCTGCGTGAACGCGCAATTCTGGCACCAAAGAATGAAACAGTGGCTGAAATCAACATGACTCTACTCAGACAGCTTCCAGGCAGTGAGACCTCATTCAAATCTGTTGATACAGTAATCGACCAGGACCAAGCAGTCCAGTACCCTGCAGAATTCCTTAATTCTTTGGAGCCCGCTGGAATGCCTCCTCACCACCTCACTCTCAAGATTGGAACTCCTATAATGCTCTTAAGAAATATTGAATCACCAATCCTCTGCAATGGCACAAGACTGGTGGTGAAGAACATGATGCCACATGTACTGGAAGCTACAATACTGACAGGAAAAGCTAAAGGAGATGACGTTTTTATACCAAGGATACCTCTCATCACCACTGGCCTGCCATTTGAGTTCAAGCGACTTCAGTTCTCGGTTAAAGTGAGCTATGCCATGACCATCTACAAAAGCCAGGGACAGTCCCTAAAGAAGGTTGGCCGAAACCTGGTGTTTCCTTGCTTCTCTTATGGACAGTTCTATGTTGGATGCTCCAGAGTGGGAACTGACAAAAATCTGTACATACTTGCTGCTAATGGCAAAACCAAAATTGTGGTCTACCTTAATGCACTACAGTGAGACAATGTGGAGTCTCCCGGAGGGTGGCGTCCTACCGTGGCCTAGCGAAAGAGCCTTTTGGCCCATACTAGGGAGTCCAATTTACACATAACCCCTATTGCTCATATATCCATCCAACCTATGTTTGAAGCTATCCAGCGTATTCGAGTTAATTATGATGTTTGGTAACTTGTTCCACTCGTCCACTCCTCTATTTCCAAACCAATGTTTACCTATTTCACGCCTAAATCTAAATTTGTCTAATTTAAAACCACTGTTACGAGTTCGCTCCTGGTTGGATAGTTTGAGTACCTTTGTAATGTCCCCATTGTTAAGCCCTGACTTCCATTTATACACCTCTATCATATCGCTTCTCACTCTACGTCTCTCGAGGGAGTGCAAATTAAGATGATTTAACCTGTCTCTGTGCTCTAGGTTCATAATGCCCGGGATTAGTCTTGTCATTCTCCTCTGAATTCTTGCCAAGGATTCTATATACATTCTGAAATACGGGGAGCAGAATTTAACTGCGTAATCCAAGTTAGGTCTCACTAGTGCAGGATATAGTTTTAGGATGATCTCGCTAGTCTTGTAACTAACACTGCTTCAAACATAGGTTGGATGGATATATGAGCAATAGGGGTTGGATGTAAATGGGACTGCCCATTTCCTTCATTCTTATATATATATATATATATATATATATATATATATATATATATATATATATATATATATATATATATATATATATATATATATATATATATATATATATATATATATATATATATATATCAAACAAAGTGAACCAGAAATCGAAAACTGGACAAGTTAACACCGAGTCCTGTCAGCGAGAAATACATTTTAATCTGTCTGTATGTAAATCACTTTCAGGTCTCGTCCACACACACACACACACACACACACACACACACACACACACAATATAATATCAACATCTAAAGCGAGGGTTACATAGAGAAGAAACCATACTAATCACAGGTTACGTAAGAGCTGGGTGGAAAAGTTATATAATGCAAGAAAATTCTACACCACATATATATTTTTTGACATGAGAGGATAACGATATATGATCTTTTGGATATGATTTTTTTTCATAAGAGTGACTTTTATTTTAGGTTTTAATGATACATACACACGGTACGTATACATCCCCCACAAGACGCCAACTGTTGTTATTAACTCTACCACATTCTTGAAATATATTACATAGTTTCTGTTTTCTTTGAATCATCTCTCTCTCTCTCTCTCTCTCTCTCTCTCTCTCTCTCTCTCTCTCTCTCTCTCTCTCTCTCTCTCCTGCAATATATTCTAGGGACCGAAAGAGAAATAGTTCGAAGAAAAGAAAAAGTGAGGAAGAGAATATCAACATACATACATACATACTGTACATGAAATTAATATATGTGGAATGTGAGCCTTTCGTCAAGTGCACAGAGTATATATTAAGCTAGTATCTACTGTTATATGTATACAGTATTGCGTTAATAAATCCTCGTCATATTCCTCACCACAAGTTGGTCTTAAGCGGCCATGTTACATTAAATACCGAACGTAAGAAGATACAGGATGATGACAGGAGACGTAAGTGAAGGGAACTTTTGAACTTGTGAACCAGAAAGGGGGAAATTACTTCTTTTTTTTACTACAAATATAAAAGACAATAAAATCTTAGTTGAGGAAAAAAAAAGTAAAAGAGAG